GACACGACCTGTAATATTCTTTGTTATGCAGATGATACTGTCTTATACTTATATGAGTCTTCTTCTCTTATCTCTGCTGAACCTCAAACCTGAGCTGAATGTTAAGAAGTTGTCTTAGAAGAATAAAGTTCTCGCTGTTGAAGAGGAATAATTATGACTAGCTGAACCTCTGATAGTCTGTCCTCTGTGTCTGCAGGTGTTTTTCTGGCCTGTTGGACACCTTTCTTCGTCGTACATGTCACCAACGTGTTGTGCCAGTCGTGTGGCATCGGACCCACCCTCATCTCCATGGTAACGTGGCTCGGCTACGTCAACAGCGCCGTCAACCCGATCATCTACACCGCCTTCAACGCCGAGTTCAGGAACGTCTTCCACAAGCTGCTCTGCTGTCGGACATAAAACTGCTCTAAGCAAAGCGTCTCCACATGAGACTCTTTATGTACAAATAAACATGAAGAGCATCTCAATCTGCAGACCAATTGTTGTTATTATTTGGTCTCCAGTGGCAAATGTACTTTGATGAATGTTTTCTACATTTCATCCTGTAAAGTGTTGCCAACAGGAAGAAGGTTTCTGACCAATGCCTTAGTTTAGATCTCAGCTGGACTGAAACACTTTGACTTTCTCTTATTTTGTATGTCACTCTCTTATTTTGAAGGAGTTCTTCTTGAGTCTGACTGTATTGAAGTTTTACTCATTAAAGCAGAGGCATGAAACATGTGAACAAGTGTTGACTGACTTTAGTCATTTTTACAAAAGTGTTAAAAGTTTTTAAAAAATGTTTGTGACTAAAATGAGAGTTTGTGTTGAAGACAAACAAAATATTGTGGTAAAGTTTATAAAAGAGGAAAATCTTTCAGGTGAACGTGGTGAAATGTAGCTTAAAAAACGTAAGAAATGATTCTTTGTTTACTGACAGCGACTTTTCTTCAGTGTCTCCATCTTTGGACACAGTTAAGAGGTAAATGGTATATTGTATGTTTTACTGTACTACGTTTACTTGTACTGGTAACTTTGAGGATTAATGTTTTATATTGAGTATGCAACCAAATAAATTATTGTAGAAAATGTATTACATTTTGAATGAACTTAAAATCTTTTCTTCCGCGTGTTTGCTAGAATTTGTTTTTAATGAACAGATCTCCACAATATTCATAATATAGTAAGTTATTAGTATTCTTTCCAATACTGGTTAACTTATTAAAACCTAAAAAGATGTATGGATGTGTTTCCATCCACATGAAGCTCTAGTGTAACTTCAGCAGGAACACTTTACTCTTGTATGTGAAGGCTTATAGTTTATTTCTCAAACATCGAATCACTCCTCACGCATGCTCCATCATGATGTCATCGTTCAGGGCTGTCAATCATGATATCAGTTGTTTAGATCAGCTGCTCTCTTCTATCCAATAGCACAACGACACAATTTCATCGTTAGCCAATCATCTTGCTGCTGTCTCTTTTAAATATGATTGTCTCTCTACCTTCAGTACGTTAATGCTGCTGTTATGCACCCCATCACTGCCCAGTCTTCATCAGATTCATTATCTTCATCAACTCATCATTCTAGCATCCTCAGAGCATTCAGGAGCATTGAGGAGCATTGAGGAGCATTCAGGAGGATTGAGGAGCATTGAGGAGCATTCAGGAGCATTCAGGGGCATTGAGG